ACATTATCCCACAGTGCCACATTTTACAAACATTTTTGCTATATTTTGAACTTTTGATCATGATCAGATTCCTGATTTGAGCGGGGAAGGGCAGTGGTAAAAGCAGGGGAAAACTGCTGCTGGGGTTTTATTGTGAACATGGTTGAAATCTGCCTTTATCACTGTGAGAATGAAATTATGGATTCTTCCAGTTCCAAAATTATATGTCAAAGCATTAAACTCAAAATAGAAAATGTTATGTGTTTATAAATGGAATCAAATTGGAAAAGTCTGTTCAGTGCTGTGTAGTGTTGGACATTCTGGCATTTAGCACATGTCCTTGAAGTCAGGTACTTGGGAGACCCCTCCAGCACCAATTTGCTTCTGGGAACACAAGTGTGTTATCCAACAGATGTGCATGCGTGCCATGTATATCAATGAAAAGCTGAAACAGGTTTTTTTTTTGTTTGTTTTGTTTTTTTTAATTATTAATACTCATGGAGAAGCTCTTCATCTAGCTTCCCCAGAGAAGGCTACAGGAAGTAGGTGGGGAGGGAAGAATGACTCCATCTTGCCTACAAAAATCAAGTTGATATTTAATAAATTTAGTATGTTTTTCATTCATTAGTGATGCTATCACTTATGCATCTTGTGTCCTGATACAGTAACAAAAAATCAAGTGCTTCTAAAGTTGCACCTAAAATCAGCTATATATATATTTTTTTAAATGAAAGAAACTTAAAAGAAGAACAGAAGAGCTTGCCTATATAATGCAACTATAACTTCATTTAGTAATTTCATATTAGAGGTCATTGTCTCTTATCTGTGTGACAATATAACAAGAATCTAGCATACTTATCTTGCAACTCAAACAAATTAACAATGACCATAGTGAGTTTTGACAATTTAGGTACATTTTTAAAGATGTGAAGTACTGCAAAATCCTAGGGGATATTTTTTTTCTTCGTTTCTGAGAGTATTTGTCTTGGCCATGATCCTCTGCCTATTCAGTCATCCTAGCCCCTTATCTATTTTCCCACTTTGAGTCATGAACTCATAAAGACTGAGTAAAAGCACCCTCCATGTCATCTTTTGGTTTTCTCTACCAAATGACTTATCATCTGGCCTTCACCTGACTAATGGAAATGACATGCACAATTTATGAGGTTCTGCCCATTTTCAGCATATTCTACTTGCATTTATTTTTTGAGTCAAAGTCTTTCTCTTTGGATGTAATTTGTAAGTACTAGTTCCATGCTGTTCAGTAACTTAAAGTGTATCTCTGATTCTTGTTGAGAATATTTTTTGTTTACTCATCTACTCAAATATTTCATCTACTTCTCATTTAACATAAAAAATTTTTTGAAAATTACAAAGATTTTGAAATCCTGATTGATCTGTGTAGCTTAGTCTCTCTCATTAAGTTGGTTAGCAATGTATATTTCCTCCTGAGAACAGTACCTCTCAGTCCACTTCTCTGTATGCTCACTCTTGCCTGCTTTCTCTGCTGCTTCTCCCCAGTGTAACCAACTGAAAAATGTGTCAGTGAAAACTGCAGGAGCAGATGGCTTAGTTCACTTGTTCTTGTACCAGATTTCTGGCCCAAGCCAGGCCACTCCATGGCTCTCCTGGTCTGCTGGCCACAAGCCTTCTATCTGCAATGTGCAAAGCAAACACATGAATGAGATGTCAAGTAATCATTAATGTTTGGCTGGTTTCCTAGCACTAGGGCTTTGTTTTGTTTTAGTCTTATAATAAATCAAATCTTCCAATAGAGGCTTTCCAGTGCCTGTGGCAGTTTAACTAATATTTACTATGTTAACTGGCATTTTAATAAGGAATGTAAAATTAGTCAGTTTTGGTCTTGTGGTTATCACATGGAACTTGTGGTGGTGGTGGTGGTGTGCTGTGGCATCAGTTTCAACTCATAGCAACTCTGTACAGGGTTTCTGAGGCTGTAAATGTTTACCAGAGCAGAAAGCCCCATCTTTCTCCCATGGAATGGCTGATAGTTTCAAACTGATGACCTTGTGGTTAGCAGCCCAATTCGTAACCACAATGCTACCAGAGCTCCTTGGAACTTGTTGTAGTAGTGTTGTAATTACTGATGATAAAATTACATATGACTGACATAAGATGATCAGGAAGATCAAAACCCTTGTTGGTTGTGATAAAAAGAATATATAAACATTTAGGCAAATCTAAATGTAAATTAGAAAAGGGGATATTCTCCGAGGTCTCTGAGAATTTTTGAATGTTTTACGATGAAAAAGCATTTAGTTCTAGAAAGTAACATAAGGTTTTCTGTTTTTTAAAATTGTCTTTGACGAGAGATCTCAGGAATAAGCAATGTAGATGACAGTCAACATTACATTATTATTTTTAAGTTGCAACTCATTATAGGAGATCCTTACAGGTATATTTTCAGTCCAATAAAACTAGCATTCCATCTAGTCCTTAGAGAGTAACTGGAAGTTAATTCGTGATGAAGGCATTGCAGTGATGGACAAAGCTAGAGGCCTCTTTCTGCCTGAGGATGAAAACCTGCGGGAGAAGGGCGATTGGAGCCAGTTCACACTCTGGCAGCAAGGTGAGCACTAACTTCCAGTTTCTTCTTTGCAGCCAAACCTCATGAGAAGTGAACATTTCCCAGACTTACAAGTCTGCACTCTCATAATTAAGGGAAATTGTCTGGGAAGCCTAGATTTTGGAAATGCATTCATGGTTATTATTTTTTTTTTAATGTTTTATTGTGAATTATATGATAGTTTACATGGGAGAACTTTAGTTTTACATTCATTCCATCGTATATCATCTC